TTATTTTATGTGTATGCGTGTATTGCCTACGTGTAGGTAAGGACACCCATGTCGTGCAATGCCTGCAGAGGGCAGAAGAAACTGTCAGATCCCCTGGAACTGGAGTTACGGACAGTTGTTAGCTGCCATGTGGGTGCTAGGATTCGAACCCGGGTCTTCTGCAAGAACAGTCAGTGTTCTTAACTGCTGAGCCATCTCTCCAGTCCCCCAAAAGCATAATTTTTAAGGCTCTTAATACATCAAACTGAGTTTTGTTAGAATTTTATTTATGTGTGTATGATGTGTGTGAGGCATACACATCCCATGACATGCACGTGGAGGTCAGAGGACAACTTTGTGAAGTCAGTTCTCTCCTTCCACTGTTACCTGTGTTCTAGGGATGGAACTCAGGCCACTGGGCCAGCACTTTATCCCTGACCCATCTCACCTGCCTTGCAAATCACTAAATCACTTCTAAGAAAAGCCATGGCAATTTACAACCTCACCTATAAAGTCTTCCTGCCCACCCATGAGAGGTGAGGAATGGACCATTGCTGCAGATTATTTATTTCCCAGGCAAGTGGGAGACTTCCAAATTTATAGTCAGTGTATCATATTGCTTGTAATACAATAATGATAAACTTTCTGGTAATTGCTGTTTTTCTAAAAAGGACACACATAAGAGGACTCAAAACCAGTGTGAAGCATCAATCTGCTCTTTGCAGGGACAGCCTGCAGCCCCGTTTACACTGGTTGGGGAGCCGCACACAGGGGCACTTTCTGAGGCCCTCAGGAAATGAGGTCAAGTGCTTCCTATGGGTGATAACCACTCGTTTACATGATGCTGTTAGGTTTCCATAACATGCAGCCACACAGCTGGAAGAAGCCAGGTGCCGGAGAGGGTTCCAGAAACCCAGAGTTGTCACCCTCTGCAGGGGTGGGTGTGTGTGTGGTTAGGGCCCCTTCCCAGATAGCTAGGCAAAACCTTAAAAACACCAGTTGTATCTATCTGTCCTTCGGCCCAGCAACTCCACAACCAGAACTCTTCAGTGCTGTCACCTGGAGATTAGTGAGCACGCCGAGCCACGTTTCAGAACTGTCACTGCAGTGCTTGCTGGACATCCAGAACCAGGGTCTGGTTCCTAAAGAATTCTAATGTGTCATCAAAACAAAATGATACTGCACCACAGGAGCTGGACAGGCTGTCTTAGAAGTACACACACCCTTCCTTGACCTGCACATGCTCCTCCGTGCTCCCCAACTGTTGCGAGTGCTTCTGTCTGCATCAACCCTTACACAAGTACCCAACCTCTGCACAGAACTGCCTAATTTAGGGAGCAACCAGACGCCCCGCACCAGGTAACAGATCAACTGTGGGGCCTATGGACAGTGGGACAGTGGTCAGTAACAGAATATGGGCACCTCAGAGAAACCCTGAGCTTCCTTAGCGGAAGCCATAAAGGCATAAAACCATCAGAGTGGCCAAAAGCCTCTAAATTGTAAAAGCGTTTCCCCAGTGACCTAACAGCTATGGCTTAAAGACCTGGCTCTGCTCATCCCTTACCAGTCGGCCACTCAGGCCTGAGAGGAAATGTGTGTGGAGCCCACCTGTCTCCTCTAAGGCCATAGACAACACTCCTGCCAATTCCTGGGGAAATAATCTTGAGAAGGAGACCTTTAAGCCGGGACACTAACTCAACTTGCTACTTAGTTGTATCCCACATCATAAACAGCACCCCCGCCCCAGGTTTCTTTGTCTAGTTGTAGAAGCTTGGTTCCTGCAGACAGCCTCTACCTCTCACTGTATCTTTGAATACAGGAAGATTGATTCCTTGCCTGTTGTTGGTCTGGCTCTGGTGTCTTGTCTCCTGCTCCTCTAGCTTTCCTTTTATTTCCCAAAAATCTAACAGTCAATGCTAAGAGTAGGTGTGTGGGGGTGGCCCTAACAGTGTGAGACAGCAGGACACAGAACCCTCATGAGGGACTTGAGTTGACACCGATCACTAGTGGGCATTCAACGGTGATAAACTCACCAACCACACTGACAGGAGCGGAGGGTGGGGGGGTGTTAGTATTAGTAAAACCGCACTTTCTGCTCAGGTTTTCTGCAGATCTAAAGCTGATCTAAACATAAAGTCCACTAGCTAAAAACAATCCCAGTGTGTGTGAAAGTCATTAAAAATGACACAGAGGGCTGGCAGGAGGGCTGGGAAAAGGCACCTGCTGCCAAGCCTGACTTGAGTTTGATCCCCTAGAACTCACATGGTGGAAAGAGAGAATCGACTCCTGAAAGTTGTCCTCTGACCCCCACAGGCATGCCCAGTATATGCACACAAAATAAGTAAATGTAAAATATAAAAATGAAAGAGACTTGTGTTATTAAAAGTGAATGCAATGAGTTAAAAACCAGTATGTGACTAAACGAAGTTAAGAAGACAAAGACTGAGCCTGGAAGTAAACAACCAAGTGCCATTCATACCGCCCTAGTGCAGGGAGGCTGGTGGGTTTCAAACATTTTTCTCTTTCGACAATTCACTCAGAAGATTTTCCACCTGTTGTACAGTAAATTCCATCACGTGCTAATTGCACTGCTGTGAGGTTTGTACACTAATCTCTGGTTTAAAGAGACACGGCTGCAGCCCCACCCTGACAGGACGCTGCAGGGGACAGCACTGACCTTCACTCTGGGGTCCAATGCTGTGCATACTGAATCCTCGGACACTCGTGGGGCCTCCCAGGTAAAACCTACAGCAAAGTGACACATGTCAGGTATTAGAAGCACCACAGGACCCACCACAAGTGTAGACAGTGGCAGACATCGCCTGCACACAGCAGAACCAAAGGAGGGAAGGGAAGAGGGCAGGAGCCCATGAGGCTTGCCAAAATCCACGGGATCCAACCAAACCCCAACCCAACAGGTGTTCCACTGGAGATGTGTGGTAAGACACGAGGACCATCTGCAGCACGATGGGCTGCCTCTAAGAGACCTACCAAAATACTCCCTTCCCACCTGGGCCTCCTACAGCCTCCCTGCAACATTAGGTTAACAAAAGTCAGGAGCCACAGAACCTCACAGTACAATCCCAACTACAGAGGGCCTGGAAATACCAAGAGGAAACAGACCGAATCTTCCCACAGTCAACCCTATTTCCCTTTAGTTGCCGTGAGGACAGAGCCCAGGGCTTCCACACATGCTAGGCAAGTGCTTTATCACTATGCTGTAACCTTGAGTCCCTGAAATGTTTTTTAATTAGGAAAACAATGAACTTCTAATTTATTAGGTTTATAATTTTTAAGTGGTAGACCATGTGCCAAGCTGGTGTGAGGCCCTGGCTTCGATCCTGAGCACCCCAAAAGCAAAAGCAGCTTTCTTCCGGGTTCCTAAGGGACTGGGTTATACACTATCAGCTGAGCAAAGAAAAATCATTAATCAGAACTGATGGAGAAAGCTCATCCGCTCTCTGAAAAGCTCAACAGTATTTTAGAACCTGATCCGGGTCTTGATGATCAATAAACACATTCACAGGGCACGGTGTGGTGGTGCAGGCTTTTAATCCCAGGACTCAGGAGGAAGAAACAAGCAGGCCTGAGTTCCAGGCCAGCCTGGTCTACACAGTGAGTTCCAGGCCAGAACAGGAGAAGCTGGGTCTGTCCAGCACAAGGGCCCTTGAGCAACACTGCCATTACAGCTGACCAGAAGACCGTTCCAAGAGGCTGAGAGAGCAAACATGGAACAGGGCATTGATTTCCTGCCACAGGAAGTCTCTGGCTTTTTCCTTGAACTTGAGGTGAGGTCCGCCCTGCACTTTTCCTGTCTGGATTTCTAAGCAAAGTTTTCCTGAACAGCCGCTAATATTAATAACACAAGCAAACGGTAAATTCCATTCTTGATTTTTAAAATGATAAATGGCACAGGCTCTTGAAAGAGTTCAAGTGACCAGGAAACATCTAACAAGTGCAGGGCTTTGTCTCGCCTCCTCCCTCCTCTGCCTACCACACCCCAGTCTCCAGGGAGTCCCTGTCACGTTCTTGGTGTCTGACTTCCCAAACTCAGTATTCTGCCTGTTAACACGTACCCGCACACTGAAGACTGGCACCCTCAGAGAAGAGTCGACTCAATAGACTCAGGCGGGGTTCTAACCCACCTCGCCCCGCCTCCCTCTTTCCCTCCTCCCCTCCTTCCCTCCTCCTTTCCCTTCATCCTTCCTCACTCCTCTCCTTTTGGTTTGAGGCAGGGTCTCACAATGCAGCACAGGCAAACTTAGAACTAAGATCCTCCTGCCTCAGTCTCCCAAGTACTGGGATCACAGGCCTGCACCACTACACCTGGCTCAGCAGTATTCTAAGTCTTAAAGGAACCAGATTCCAAAACAGTAAATATACACTTACTAATTTCAGGAAATAAAACGAACAAATTATTTACAAAATTATTCTTTACAAAATTATGTGCAAAAAAAAATCACAAAATAAGAAATAAGTGAAACATATCAAAATGTGAGATGTGTTGGGGCTGGAGAGATGGCTCAGCAGTTAAGAACACTGGTTGTTCTTGCAGAAGACCCGGGTTCGAATCCCAGAACCCACACAGCAGCTAACAACTGCCCATAACTCCAGTCCCAGGGGAGTCCAGTCCCAGGGGAGATAAGCCTCTTCTGACCTCCGTGGGCACTGCATGACATGTGTGCACTTACCTACATGCAGGCAATACATGCATACACATAAAATAAAAATAATAAATAAAATTAAAAAAAGTGAGATGTGTTGAGAAGCTACCATACACACAGACAGTGACATGCAGGACATCAAAATGCCACTGACAGGTTGAGGAGATGTTTTAGTGGGTAAGGCTATAGCCACACAAACCTGACTGGAATTCAATTCCTGGAACCCATGTAAGAAGCCAGAAGCAGAACACAATGGTTAAGAGCGTTTACTGCTCTCGTAGAGGCCCAGAGCTCAGTTCTCAGCACCCACCAGGCAGCTCACAACCACCTTTAACTCCAGTTCCAGGGGAGCTGATGTCTCTGGCCTCCTTTGGCACGTGCATTCAAGTGCAGATATCCACACAGAGACACATACATACATAATTAAAAATTAATAAATCTTCCCCCCAAAATACAAAATGTTGGGCTGGAAAGATGGCTCAGCAGTTAAGCGCACTGGCTGCTCTTGCAGAGGACCTGGGTTTCCAGAGACACATACATACATAATTAAAAATTAATAAATCTTCCCCCCTAAAATACAAAATGTTGGGCTGGAGAGATGGCTCAGCGGTTAAGGGCACTGGCTGCTCTTGCAGAGGACCCGGGTTCAATTCCCAGCACCCACATGGTGGCTAACAATCACCTGTAATTCCAGTTGCAGGGGATCCAATGCCCTCTTCTGGCCTCTGTAGGCATTGCAAAGGACAGGTGCACTTATACACATGCAGGCAATACACTCATACACATAAAATAAATGAATAAACCTTTAAAAAGTACAAAATGTTGGGGCTGGAGAGATGGCTCAGTGGTTAAGGGCACTGACTGCTCTTGCAGAGGACCCAAGTTCAATTCCCAGCACCTACATGATGGCTACAAACCACCCTTAACTCCAGTTCCAGGGGAATCTGAAGCCCTCTTCTGACCTCCACGGCACTGCACAACATGGGTGCACTCACATACATGCAGGCAATACACTCATACACATAAAATTAAAATAATAAATAAAATATTTTCATTGCATGACATGGGTACACTACATGCAGGCAATACAGGCATACATATAAAATAAAAATAATAAATAAAATATTTTTTAAAAAGTACAAATGTTATTACATTAAAGTAACAAAAACCCAAAAGCCATTCTGTATGAGGACTGGGCATTTCCAAAGCAGTTTAAACATAAGTACTGAAGGACAATCTGGACTGCTCCTAAGACGCCTCTAAAGGATGCTAGAAACCCATCAGAGACCTAAGGGACGGTGTAGAGAAGCTCCTTTGGCCAGCACTTACCTGTCAGCAATGCTGGATGGCTTGTCACCAATGGGCACCAGCATGCCTCCCCAGAGAGAAGCAGAGAAAACCTGTGTGAAGGCAAACACAGTTTTTTCCTGTCCTGTGAGCACCAGCAGAGAGCTGCCTGGAATGCCCACAGCATGTGGAGCAGGGGAACAGCCACGGCACAGAGGGACCAGCTGGCTGTGCGGCTCAGGGACCCAGTGAGAGGCTCAGAAGCAGCTTTAAATTACAACAAAGTCTCACACACGGGCGGCAGGGCTCAGCTTCCAAAGCAGCAGGTCAAGTCTCTCTGCCACAAGACACCATGCTCACCTGGACTCTGGCCTGACGGGGAGGGCCACCTGGACCCTGGCCTGATGGGGGAGGGCCACCTGGACCCTGGCCTGATGGGGGAGGGCCACCTGGACCCTGGAAATGCAATCCAGCATCAGCTCAGGCATTGGGGACATGTGAGGGGACTGGGGCATGCCGCCCCTCAGGCTGAAGGATGGTGTAGGCTACAATGCTCCTGCAGTCACACAATGCAGACCCTGCTCTGGGCAGCCCCTAGTCAGGAGCTCAGTGACTAGACTTTCACAGTGTGGAGCCCACCCACCAGTCCTACTCAGACCACTCTGAGCTTAAGGCCCTCTCACTCATCAGCCTCAAGCCTTCCTGGTGTCCCAGTGGGCAGGCCCTCCTGTTCTCTGCCTGGCCAGTCCCTGCACCCTCCAAAGCTACTCAGATGACTCTTTCCTAGAAGCTTCAGTGAGAAGGGCTACAGATGCTGAGTGGAACAGAGTGAGCAAAGCAGGCCACACAGCACAAACTGCCAATGGTGGGCCAGGATCACCCAGCTGGGTGGCACATCTCTGTACCCATCTATCTGTGTAGTATTCAGTAAACCAGAGCCATGCAGCAAGCGGTCAGCACATCACCTTGGTCAGCTTTGGAAGGCTAAAGGAAGTGCTCTAGCCCAAGGCTGGCCAGGCTGAGAAGCATTCATCAGGTTAACACACACTAGGGTCATCAGCATGTGTAAGCCAGGGAGCACCTGTCCTCTGACACTTTCCACTGGCTGAAGTTTAGCATGGCCTGTGGTAGGGGGAGCCGCACACTGAGGACACCCTGGAGCTCACAGCCTGATACTCAGGTTCCGGCCTGTTTATGCAGGTGCTGCACCCAGTCCAGTTCTCCCTCTAGGCTGCAGGCCTGGCTTTGCCTGCCTGACTCCCACCCACCGTTGCTGTCCCTGGGCTGGCCGGCAGGTCTCTGTGCCCCTGTGAAGAGCCGGGTCCTGCTTTTCTTCCTGCTGGCCCTGCCCCTGCTCCCTGCTCGAGGCGTGTACTTCCATATTCCCATCAGCACAGATGGGGTCACAGGTCTCTTCCTGTCAAGCCTTTCACCCCCGCCCTCACTCCACTCTAGGCTCCTGGAGGAGCTACTCTCTTGTTCCCAGCCTCCCTGTCTCTTAAAGTAAGTATTTTATTTGGGGGTGGCCTCAGGTTTAGAGAGAGGCATAGCCCAGGGTCCCATGGTCCCTGACCCCACAGCCTCTCTCACCACTGAGCTGAGGGCCCACCCTGCCCCTCACTATTTGAAGAACTCTAACCCCATCTGGACATCATCAGCTCCCCAGATGGTCCCTCACTTTCTCTAAGAGTCAGTCGGGTGCAGGCTGCACTGAGTCTGACCCCACACTGCCAGTCAATGTCCCTCTCCCGTCTGCCCACCTCACCACCAATCCTTCAAATTCCCTTGGCCTTCTATCCTCAAGTTCCCGCTCCCTGTTGTTGGCACCTAAAAAGTGCCTGACAACAGGACAGGGGTGGAGAAGTGGACGGGTGGGCAGGTAGGAGAACAGGCGGGTGCAGACGGCGGACAGGATATACAGGTGGTTGATGGATATGGGCAGGTGGGAGGACAGGTGTGTGGACAGATGGGTGGATAGGGAGATGGGAAGATGAACAGATACAGGTGGACTGAGGGATATGGGTGGGTAGGATGAGTAGACGATGGGTGGGGGGTTGGCGGGGTTGGTAGGAGGATGGATGGTGAGGCGTGTGAGCAGACAGGTGGGTGCTACAAGGAGATAAGCACAGTGGAGCCCTCCACCCCACGACCCCAGGCTGAGAGGTAAGAGAAGAGAGCAGGACACATGCCTGTGCCAAACTCCTAAAAGCTGGAGCAGGAGGCCAAGTAGACAGGTGACCAAAGGGAGTTACATGGCAGAAGACAGACGAGGACAAGTGCTGTGGGTAGAAAGAGCCCGGCTCTGTGGCATGTGCGGAAGAAGACGGACTCACAGGAAGCCCCAGGCAGGACGCGCATCTCAGAGCCTCAGAGATGGAAGGGAGCAGGTGCAGGGAGGACAGGTTCCAAGGCACAGTGCCCCGGGGCTGAGCAGCACAGGGCAGGGAGGACAGGTTCCAAGGCACAGTGCCCTGGGGCTGAGCAGCACAAGGCGAGGAGGAGAGGTTCCAAGGCACAGTGCCCTGGGGCTTAGCAGCACAGGGCAGGGAGGAGAAGTTCCAAGGCACAGTGACCTGGGGCTGAGCAGCACAGGGCAGGGAGGAGAGGCTGGGTGCAGTTCTAGGATGGGTAGGTGTGACAGTGGGGACCCAGAGCAGCCAGGGCAATAGCGGAGGGCAGCCTGTGGGGCACTGAGTGAGCAGGAGCGGCCCAGGCTTCAGAAGGAAGGTCCCTGGCTGACAGGAGGGGTCTTAAATCCCTTGGTCTATGCTTAAAGCCTAGGCTCTCACCCCAAGGTGAGGGTGACCATGGCAGGCACAGCGTCGGCTGGAGACTCACCGAATCCAGCATGAGTTGTTTGTTCAGCTGAAGCTCAAAGTCCTCCTTGATGAAGCTCACATCTCCTCCAGTGTAGCCTGCCAGCTCCTGCAGGAAGAAGCCACAGGCCCACTTCTCCGATTACAGCTCTGCCATCCATGTTGTTCAAAGGCAGGAGGCAGTCATCCTGTCTCCTAAAGTCATGTCCTAACGCTATAGGTGGAAGGGGGTGGGGACGGCAGACAGAGGCTCACCCAGCACTGAACGTCTGTACGAAGATGCACAAGCAGCCCAACTGTGGAACTGCTGAGCGCTAGAAGGGTGATGGGGCTGGCCTGCTCAGCATTTGCAACTGAGCATTCGCAAGAGGAATGTTTTACACAGAAACCCCGTATCCCACTGCTCCTCTGAAAATGCACACTGGGCTCCCTGGGATGCTACATGAACCCTGACCACTGGGCGAGACTGGACAGCCACCAAAGCACATGGCACACTGCCCAGTTCCCTGCGCCTGCAGGGCAGCTGACCTCACAGCAGAGGCACCTCCCACAGCACCAGACCTAGGCTGCCCTCGCCTGGCCCTGCAGGTCTGAGTGACAATCCTGCCTACAGCTGTTCCTGCAGCTCTGCTCCTGGCCATCGTGTGACACCAAGAAGACGCCACCATCTCATCCCACCCTGGCCTGTGTGAAGGCACAAGACAAGCTGAAGGGAGCAAGCCCAGTCCTGGCAGACAATTCAGGCTGTCATCGTTCCTGTTTGCTGGGCTGGGATTGGAACGTACAGCCTCCCTCAGGCAGGCCAGGCAAGTGCTCTACTGAGCCACATGACCAGCCCCTGGGATGGTTTTTACAACTACAAGAAAGGCTTGATGTTAAAAGTGTGACTCCTCTGTGCATCCACTCTCCCCCTCGGGTCACCTTTCTGCGTAGACACTGGCCCACCACCGTGCAGAAGCTCTAGGAATACGCCACCTGGTTGACTTTCAGCAAGGCCCCTCTTCTTGGTAAGATGGATGAGTTCCGAGAGTCGACGACCATGGCGTGCTGGAAGGAATTAGAGTTTGCACTTCAAGCAGCTCGATCAAAACATAATGAACAGGCTGAGCACTGAACTGACCACCCTCACCATCTCAGCACTCCCTTGGTACCACCTTCCCAGGACAGAAGTCAAATCAGTCAAATCCCCAGCAGCCCCTGGGAGTCCACCACTGTCCCTGTCCGCTTGGCTCCTTCACAGAGCCCAGCACTGTCTACGTCAACTCACGAGCTTTCTTTTGATTTCCAGAAGCTAAAATTCCACGGCCAGCTCTTAAACACATCTTTATCTGTTTCCACTGATGCTATTTAGAAAGTCTCATGAGGCGGTGGACAGTGAAGGCAAGGGGTCCCAGTCACCCACTGCAGTGACACTTGAGTCAGCCCCACACTGGCAGACACTGGCCCTCTCAACACAATCCTCCACCCAGAAAGCGCAGTCCTACCGAGAGAGACGACTTCAATGAGTGTCCACTTTCTTTCCGCACAGCGAATGATGCAGTCCTCGAGAGGCAGCCCAGTTCCCGCCACACACCCTCCCACTTGACGGTGTGGCTGGTCTTCCATATGGGAAACTGTAAGCACATGGGAACGTGACCTCGTTCTGTACGGCTCACATTGGAGCAGCCTGCGCAAATCATCCTTTGAAATGAGGCATCACCCAATCGCTTTTTCAGGGTCAGGGATGCTGGGCAAGTGTTCTATCACTGAGCCATATACCCAGCCCCTAAACAAACTGCCTTAAACGAAGGGAAGAGGGAAAAGCAGGAAACAGGGACAGAGGACGGTGTGCAGAGGAAGGGAGAAGGAACAGGGACACCCCCAAGAGCTGATGGTGACCATCAACCAGCAGATGTGTCTTCATCTCTTCAAAGATGATGTGACACACCCACTCAGCCCACACGACCTGTCACCTGGATGGCATCAGCCCCAGAGGAACAAGGAGGCTGAGTCACACGGCTGAGAGCCGGATGGCCTCATTCCAACAGTAGGCCAACTGGGGGGTTAGGCTGGAGAGAACAGCATCTGTCCTGGTGTCCCCGAGAGGGCACAGCCCACAGGGCACACAAGGACTCTGGCAGAGCAGGGGTCTGAAAGCTACTCTCCACACAAGGAAAGGCTGCTTTGCAGAGGAGGGGTCGGAGCTGCAAGTGCTCTCAGCTACACGTCTACTCATCTGTACGCTGTACCCTGAGCCTGCACAGCACCCTAGGGCCTCTGCCAATGCTGGGTTTCTCAACCTTGTTTACACAATCAGAGGCCTGGGCAGCTTGTGCCTCCATGCGTGTCTGCCATGTGCCAGGAGCTGAACCTATGGCTCCTGCTCACTCTTCCCAGAAGCCCCATGGGGTGCACTAGCATCTCCTTTTCACAGGTGGGAACTTCACCCAAGGCCACAGTCAGTGACCAGGGCGCTGTCTCCAGGGGCTGTGCAGGACCCTCAGGAAAACATGCCAAGAGATGCTGGCCCTGCTACCAGAAGCTGTGACTGCCTGTCTACAGCTGCAGGTCTTCAGAGCTCACCTGGGACCCACCCAACACAGTTCTGAGTCTCAAGACCTTTTCTCTAACTAAAGCCTAGAAACAACAGCAGGAGTGAGGAAAAGTGCAAAAGAGAGAACAGGAACAGGTCCTCAGAGCGCCCAAACGACAGTCACGGGACTCTCCCTCCACCTAGTCACACTGCCACATCCTCTAGACCTACAGTAGCTGTGAACAGAGAACAGAACCTTCCAGATGTGCAGCAACCTGGCAGCTTTCAGAATCTGTCTTAACAAACAGTCAGTACCAGAGGCAGCCAGGAGCACAGAAGGCCTCTGACCAGGGTGGACACCAGCTGGCTCTGTCCACTGGAAGGCCGCTGACTAGGGTGGACACCAGGTGGCTCTGTCCACTGGAAGGTCTGACCAGGATGGACACCAGGTGGCTCTGTCCACTGGAAGTCCTCTGACCAGGGTAGACAGCAGGTGGCTGTCCACTGGAAGGCCTCTGACGAGGGTGGACACCAGGTGGCTCTGTCCACTGGAAGGTCTGACCAGGGTGGACACCAGGTGGCTCTGTCCACTGGAAGTCCTCTGACCAGGGTAGACAGCAGGTGGCTGTCCACTGGAAGGCCTCTGACGAGGGTGGACACCAGGTGACTCTGTCCACTGGAAGGTCTGACCAGGGTAGACAGCAGGTGGCTCTGTCCACTGGAAGGCCTCTGACGAGGGTGGACACCAGGTGACTCTGTCCACTGGCAGGTCTGACCAGGGTAGACAGCAGGTGGCTGTCCACTGGAAGGCCTCTGACGAGGGTGGACACCAGGTGACTCTGTCCACTGGCAGGTCTGACCAGGGTAGACAGCAGGTGGCTGTCCACTGGAAGGCCTCTGACGAGGGTGGACACCAGGTGACTCTGTCCACTGGCAGGTCTGACCAGGGTAGACAGCAGGTGGCTGTCCACTGGAAGGCCTCTGACGAGGGTGGACACCAGGTGGCTCTGTCCACTGGCAGGTCTGACCAGGGTAGACAGCAGGTGGCTGTCCACTGGAAGGCCTCTGACGAGGGTGGACACCAGGTGACTCTGTCCACTGGAAGGTCTGACCAGGGTGGACACCAGGTGGCTCTGTCCACTGGCTGCCTGCTCCAGTGAGGGAAGAGGTGCCCAGCGAGGGGGTGGCCATTGGGGATGAAGAGTTGGAATTCACCCACCTCCCTTTTCCTTTGAGATCAATGAACCTGCCATCTGTTCCCCAACTCCCAACACACACAGCACACCTGCTGTACTCACGCTGTACTCAGCAGACACTCCTCTGTCAGTCTCCCGCAGTGAGCTCCATGGGAACTGTCCCGTAACTTTATATAAGTTTACAGAGAAACTAGGAGGCAATGGAAAAGAGCTTTAAAAGCGAGCCGGGCACAGAGCTTGTGCACAGCTAAACACCAGGCCTGATAAGACTACACTGGGGCTCATCCTCAGGACAGTGACCGCAGCAGAGGCGGCCAGCTGCCAGGTGCCTTTCTGCACCCACGTCACCTACTTTAACTTTTAAACCCGGCCACTGAGCTCAAGAATCTGCTTGGCTCCCTACTTTCTCTCGAAGTTTCCAGGCTGTGGTTTGAAGAAGGACAGGCCGTATGAAGTTTCCTTGGTTCCGTAGGAAAACTGAAAAGTCACTTTTTCGGCACGTCCTAGAAGATTGGGGAGCTTGAGGCCAAGTACCTAAGAGAGGGAACACACAAAGACAAGCTGGCAATGGACCGGCATGGACCCCGCCCAAGCACAGACCCAGCATCCATGGCCACTTCCGCTCCTTCCAACACACCGTCGCCAAGCACACACATCCTCTGCAGGCCTGACCAGGCAAGACCCAGCAGAGTGACCAGAAGTCTCCCCTCCCAACCCCATCTCCCCGGATCAAACAAGACTGTTAATGTGAACATCTGTCAAACCCTCCTTAGTTACTGAAGGTAGCACTGACCTCAGCTGCACCCTAACCAATCCCTGGGAGGCTGACAGAAGTCACCACAGCACATTCCCAGCAAGCCCGAGGGGGGGGATTCTCAGCTTGGTATCACATTCCGGGCACTCACGCTTGAAGCTCACACACGTGAACCCTCCTACCATGCTGCCTTCGTTGTTTCCAACCATGGTATTGTAACTGCCCGTCAGCCTCCTCAGCTCCGTCACTTCAAAGGTGACATCTAAGCCATTTGGCAGTGCATCATCACCTAAGGAAATAAAAGATTTAAAAGGGCATCAGAGGGCTGAGTGGATAAAGGTACCTGCTGCTCTAACCACAACCGACTCGTCCTCTAGACCCGTGACCCACCCGAGACCTTCTGAGAAACCTTCGGGCACTCTCTGCATCTAACTCCATGGCTATTCTGGACCATGGAGGCTGGCAGGGGAAATCAGAAGTACTCATCTGTGACACCTACCTTGACATGTGTCAATCAAAACATCCACTTGCCTAAAAATCCCTAGACGAAGCAGTTTCTCTCGGGCTTCATGAGATTTCCGCATCACCTGTGAGAGGGAGAGCAAAGCTGTGAACAGACTGTCCTAAGACACAGAAGTACAAGAGCCTCCGTGACCAGTGAGTGTCCACACCAAGAGGCCGAGGCCTGAGCAGGAACACTGCCCAGACAGGGGAAAACCCTCTCCAAGAGTCCAAACCACCCAGAACCTTCTGCAGAAAGAAAAGGTTCAGAGCAGGCCTCTCTGCCCAAGCTGCGTGGTTTCCCCAGAACGGCCCTTTCTGACACCACTCTACTTTCCCTCAAAATCGGGCTGGAAGGACACAGTGGAGGTAGAAGAGGAAGGGCAGGTGACGGTGGGGTGGGATAAGGAGGGGCCTGGGGTAAGGAACAAAGCACAGCTTAAACCCTGTGTAAAGAGATAACTTTAGAGTCTTCACAGGAAGGCAGGACCATCCTGCCATGAGAAGCACTGGTCGCTGGCTGAACCCAGTCCTGAGGCAGAGAAGACCGGAGACAGGTGGGCACCCGCAGCAGACCAGACTGGGAGCAGGGGTGGTCAGTCCAACCCAGGGCTGGTGTTGGGAGTGGGGTTATGGGTTCTAGTGTTCTGGGCAGAACCAGCTGGTTACACAGAGGAGATGAAGGGAAGAAGCTACTCAAACTTCACGTCAGCAGAGAAGTCAGGGAGACAGAGACGGAGCGAGGAGATGTGGGGTGACTTCACACTAGCCACGGAGCAGGTGCCCGCAATGCTTGAGGAAGTTTAGTGGTCTGGAGCACATTCAGGGCTCAGCAGAGAGAAGTGGGCGACATACAGAGCTCAGGACTCCTCAGCACTCGGCTGAAACCAGGGTGAGGGAGGGCGACACTGGGGAACGCTCCCAAGGGAGAGCAGCGGAGTCGAGCATCCGCGTGACGGAGACGGAGAGCACCCAGTAGACAGCACACCAGGGACAGAGGACGGAGGGAGAGAGACAACCGACAGGAAAACAAGCTCGACCGGAAAAACTGAGGTGACAAAGCCATGCAAAGAGCTGCAAGGAAAACAGGAAAGCACCAGGTGGTTCCCAAGATAGTCCTGGCAAGGCAGCGCACGTGCCCATTAGCCCAGCACTCTGAGGCCGTGGCTGGAAGATCATAGGATGGAATCCAGCCTGGGCTACATGGTAAAACTTTGACCAAAAAGCAAAAAAGTAAAGAAAACACAAGAGAGGAATGAATGGCCCATAAATGGAAGAAGAGAAGGACTTGTGGGCTGGACGATGGCTCAGTGGGTAGAGACATTTGCTGCCAAGGCTGACAACCCAAGTTCAGGCCCCAGGACCCACATAATGGAAGGAGAGCACCAACGCCCTCAAGTGGTTCTCCGACCTCCACATTCACACCGTGGCACGTGTGCACCCTTACATGTATGTACACACATAAAATAAATGAAAATGTAAAAACCAGTACTGACGGCCAGCAAGATGGCTTGGCGGGTAATGGCGCTTGCCACCAAGGTGAATAACCTGAGATGGACCCTGGATCCAGTGATGGAAGGAGAAACAATTCCTACAATCTGTCTTCTACACGCAAGCCATATCATGTGTATGCGTACTCCCCCCCCCCAAATAAAAATGTTAAAAAAAAAAAACGGGGGGGGGGGGGCATGCCTGTAGTCCCAGCACTTGGGAGGCAGAGGCAGGCAGATCTCAGTAAGTTCAAGGCCAGCCTGGTCTACATAGTGAGTTCCAGGTCAGCTGGGGCTGCAGGAGAGCCTGTCTCAAAAAGACCAAGAAACAAAACAAATAAACAAACAAACTAGGGGCTGCAGAGATGGCTCAGCAGTTAAGAACACTGGCTGCTCTTGCAGAGGACCCAGGTTCAGTTCCCAGCACCCACATGGCAGTTAACAACCACCTATAACTCCAGTTCCAGGGAATTCAATGAGGCCCTTTTCTGGTGCACTTACATAAATGTAAGCATAATATCCACACACATAAAACTAAAAAAAAAAAAACTTTCTAAAAAAAGATATATACACACACATACACACACACACACTCTGTTGCTTTGTCTGACACAGCTCAGGGGTAGTAAGAGGAGGCAGGAAGGAGCTGGCTGGACCTGGGCACAAGGACACTGTTGCTGACCTCGGCTAGACATGTTCAGCGTGGTTCAAGGGCAGAAGGAGGAACACAAGTAAGGGGTGGACGTGCAGTATAGAGAGGCTTAGCCAGAGGCAGAGCAAGGCCTGGGAGACAAGAGGATCCTGAGGATCCCAGGGGCTCAGCAGGAGCGGGAATGGCTCCAATGCTGGGTGCCAGGAGGAGCACAGGCTGGTCGGCTGCAGACAAGAGCAGACACGCCCTTCCCCAGGATGAGGCAGTAAGACAACAGCAAACACAGTACAGTGAGAACCTGCAACCAGGCTCCCTCGGCTGGGCGCTGGGGGCTGGCGCCCTGCGCGTAGCTTCAGAAAGACATGAACAGAGTCCCAACTCACCTCAATGAGGTTCCTAGCCTTGAAAACACCTCCAATTTCACAAATGATGATGTCATCTTTAGTCCTCCCAAGTCCATCAAAATGAACATGCTGAACAACCACCTAGACGGGGCAAGGGGAACACAGATCACTGCCTACGACGTGGAGGAAGCCGAGGAGGACAGGTGGTGTGAGGCCCGCAATGCCGGCTCCTGGCTTTATCCTCACTTTAAGAATGAGCTGTGCCAGGTCTGTTCTGCCCAGGAATGAGCACTCTCCAGGCAGACAACCCAGGATCACCCGAGTCCTGCACACAGAGAAGCAGTGAGGACCCCATCTGTCCTAACCTGGGCTGCACCCAGCCTTTGACGTTGGCTAAGAGCCTGCAGGAATGTCCCAGGGCAGGTGCAGCTCAGCCTCAACTCTCCTGGGAGAAAGGAAACAGAGGTCTGAGTTCCAGGGGTGGGGGCAGCTTGGAGGCAGAACACCTGTCCGGAATGCACAAGGTCCGAGGATCAATCCCCTGTGCCACCAAAAATATACACATGTAGAAACTTTTGGTAATTTCAGTCTTATCTTTGAAAACTTTTTAATAGAAGAAACAAAAAATAGCTGCCCAGGAACAGTCTGGACCTGAGAGCTGTCCTGGGGTCAGGAGTCTCTCCAGTGAGAGGCCGGCCTTTCTACCTGTCCCTAGGGGCTTTCTAAGTAACAACCACACCACAACCACCGACAGAACACGCACCCACAGAACACGCACCCACAGAACACTCACATCTTTGTTTTCCAGAATCTCCTGTTTCGCTTCAGGTTCAACTTCCACAAACTCAGCTTCTTCCCCCAATGCTCCAAAGTCAGGTCCGCTTGATGGAAGGGGCTCCAAACTCTGCATGGGATGGAGAAACCACAAACAAACTTACAACACAGGAAAACTAAGCCAAGTCCCTGCCTCCAGGCCTCCGGTGGCGAGTCACAAAGTTCAACAGAGCTGCTCCCTCCTCTGGTAGGGGACACAGGGACAGCTCCCACCTGTGGTTGGTGCTTAGCACAGCAGCACTCACTAGATTAGTAAATAAAACCATTGGTTTAAAGAACTGCACACACAGGGCTGGAGATCCAGATGGCTCAGCAGTTAAGAACGCTGACTGTTCTTGCAGAAGACCCAAGTTCGAATCCCAGCACCCACACGGCAGCTAACAACTGTCCGTAACTTCAGTCACAGGATATCCGACACCCTCTTCTGAACGCCTCCTCGGGGCATTGCATGACACGGGTGCACTTACTACATGCAGGCAATACATGCATACATATTAAAAAAAAAAACTGCACACACTCATCAACGGGCCAGAGAACAGGTTCTACACTCTGAACTATGTGTGTATGTACAGTGTGTGAGACGGGGAACTGAACACGGCCTTGCATATGTAAGGCAAAATGCTCATCCCCTAGCTCTGTCCCCAGCCCTTTCCATTTGTGTGCCTTTCTTGTCTTCTGAGACAGCCTAGTCTCAAGCTCACTCACCATACAGCCAAGTGCACGCACGCGTTTGTGCTTCATCTAAACAACGTGCTTTGTCTGGGTAGAGTTTGCGTCCCATTATTCTCAAAAATCCCATTACAGTTCCTCAGATGTCAAAAGCATGAAACAAAGTTCGAGGAGACTACTGGCCCCAGCTGCACTCTGAGATGCAGAATCAAGACACATCACTGGGGCTCACACATGTGCCAAAGCTGAGGATCCACCAACACCTGCTGACAATGAAGACTCACCACACGCTAACCAGCAAACCCTACCAAGCCCTCGCTCACACGCCAGTGTACAAGGAATGGGAATAAGTATCTGCAGCCAGCCTCTAACTATCAAGCAGATCAAGGCACCAGTCGGCCAGCAACGTTTACTAAGCCCCATGTGCTGGTACCATGCAAGGTAGCGGGGACAGAACCCAAAATAATTCAGTGAGTTCTGAACAGCATCTTTAAAAGTGAGTGACCTAGACTGAGATAACACAGCAACCCACAGCAGACACTGACAGTGCCGCCTCCTGGAGCTGCTTCATACATGCACAGAGCAACAGGTAACAGTATCAAATGCGCTCTTACTGGAATATGAATCCTCATCAAGATGGTAGAGAAGCACTTGCTAGTGGGTGGAAACATCAAATTAAAGAACTGAACTGGCCAAAGTGATGGCTTGGCGGCTAAGAACACGCACTGCTCTTGCAGAGGACCCGAGTTTGGTTCCCAGCACCCACACTAGGCAGCTCCAGGGGGATCCCACACTGCACCTCCATGTAGAAAACCACACTGACCCACACATATGCATAATTAAAAATAGGATCTTTTTTAAAGTGAGACCATCTTGTGTGAACACATTAACCACATTAACAATTTTAGCTTCAAAGGACACCATAAAATCAAAGCTTTAGGCAGGGTGTAGTGGCACATGCCTTTAATCCCAGCACTTGGGAGGCAGAGGCAGGCGGATCTTTGTGAATTCGAGGCCAGCCTGGTCTACGTAGTGAGTTCCAGGACAGCTGGAGCTACAGGGAGACCCTGTCTCAAAAAGCCAAAAAAAAAAAAAAAAAAAAAAAAAAATCAAAGCTTTGAGGCCCAGGCTGGCCTCAAACGTTCTTCATAGCCAAAGATAACCTCAACTCCTGATTCTCCGGTCTCCACCTCCAAGCACTGGGATCACAGGCAAGTGACACCACACCTGGTTTACTCTGTGCTGGGGACCGAACCCAGGACTTGTTGAATGGTACGTGAACACTCTATCAAATGGGTCCACACCCAGCCTGATTTGGGGTTTGGGGAGGTTCTGTCTGATTCTGAGGGGCAGGCAGGGGGGTTTGAATGTTTGCTTGCCATATCCCTGGCACTTTCAACTGTGCCAGGCACACAGCCACCAGCAAGTATCAGCTGAACAGACGGACGTGGCCTACATTGGGGGCCAGCACGGTGGCTCAGCAGGTAGAGGTTCTTACCCCCAAACCTGATGATCTGAGTTAGATCCCTGGGTTTTACATAGTGGAAGGAGAGAACCAAATCCTGCAAGATGTCCCTTGACTTCCATACATGTCCTATGGCACTTGGGCCCACCTCCAATAAATAAATATTAAAAAATTTAAGATGGAAAGAAAAAAAAGGTGCCATGAGGAATGCCAGCCAAGTGAGGGTTCCTTCTCCAACCTCTAGAAACGGACTCTCAGGGTAGGACAGGAAGAGTCAATGGTATGGAAGGAGGCCAGGCGAGATGGTAGTGGAGGGTAAAGAGTAGCTTATACACTAACTTTGCCCAGGCCTAGTGGCAAACGGGTCTGAAATCCCAGCTCCTCCAGATGCTGAGGCAGGATTGTAAATTCAAGTCTGCAGGGCTAGAGAGTGAGTTCAAGGCCAGCCTAGGTAGCTTAATGAGCCCCTGTCTTGTAATTAAAAGTTTAAAAAGAGGTCTAGGGATCCAGCTCAGCAAGGAGTGTTTGCCTAGCTGGTGCCAATGGTGCTGGGGAGGACACTATGTGTGCGTGGGGTGGGGGTGGGGCTTGAACAGAGCTTTAAAGGATGTGAATATTTTGCTAGCTAAAGCAGTGTGGAAGCCAGCGACGCAAGAGGGGAGTGAGTGCAATAGCACAGTGCAAAGTGTGTGGGCAACGGTGTATGAAGGAGAGCTACGTGAGGCAGAGCTACACCCAAGTCTGGAGGCCAGGCTGAGATGCCTCAGCAAAACGCTGCTGGAGTCAGGAAGTGCTGGGAAGGAAACCCACAGTCCGCACTGAGGTGTGTGGGGTTCAGGACTGAATTTAGGACTTTCTGAAGCTCTGCGTGAACTTGGACAATAACTCATTCTGTGGCCTTTGGGAGCAGTTACAGAAAGGGAAGGGTTATTTACCAACACTGATGTAGGCTGTTGCCTGGGGTTGAGTACTAGGCCCTAATCAGTTAAACCAAAATGAAGCCAGTCGTGAGGCTTAGTCCTCAAGCAGAAACTAACCTGGTCATCTGACCTTAGGAAAAGGAGAACAGGAAAGACCCTCAAACATGCCACATCAAACTAGAGAAAGGGTGCAGGCCGCATGTCCTTGACCAGGCACAGAGGCACAGACTTGTAATCCCAGCCCTCAGAAGATGAGGCAGAAGGGCTGGGACTCTGAGACTAGCCTGGGCCACAGAGCCAGATGCAGAAGGCAAGGGACAGAGGAAGGGAGGAACTCTGAGACCGGACGGTTTCTTGTCCTGATTATTCTGCCCAGTTCTTGGGAGAGCTCATTCTGTGGTATAAAATGAGGTGCTGCCCAATTCCAGAACTGCGAATAAAAGTCAATTAGGAGTTATGAAGGGGCAGCTCCAATGGGCCCAGCAGGTAAAGACTCTTGCAGGCCCGCCTGAGGACCTGAGTCCCATATCTCTGGGACTCACATCCAAGTTGTCCCCAGGCCTTCACCTGCGCGCACGCACACGCACACACACAGGAAAATAAATGTAATTTTTAAAAGAAGAGTGTTGGAGCTGGAGAGATGGCTCGGTAGTTAACAGCACTGGCTGCTCTCGCAGAGAACCCGGGTTTGGTTCCCAGCACCCATATGGCAGCTAACAACCTCCCTTAAGTTCAGTCCCAGGAGATTCAACAACCTCTTCTGGCCGCCACAAACACTAGGCACGTGATGCACAAACACATTCAGGCAGAACCTTCATACACGGGACCTGGGTTCAATTCCCAGCACCTACATGGCAGCTTAAGAACCATCAGTAACTCCAGTCCCAGGGGAATCTGACGCCCTCTTCTGACCTCCGCGGGCATTGCACGACATGGGTGCACTTGCATACATGCATGCAATACATTCATACCCATAAAAAATAAAAAACTTTAAAAATCAAAAAAATCTTTTTGAAAAGCAAGCGTGTGCAATGGACGTGTCGAGCAGGCTTCCTTCTGACAGCACCTTCCTCCCTGCACTCCTCCCTGCACCGCTTCGGAACCCGGCGAGGCCGGGGTCCCGGGGAGAGGGGCAGACCGCTCGCGGTGCGACCTTGGGCGGTCACCGGTCCCGGGCAGCGGCGTCCCCCGCACCCGAGCCGCAGGCGACTGTCCCGCCCGCCCCGCCGCCCTCGCCCCGGCCGGCCGCCGCGGGGCCTCTCACCCGGGCGTGCACCGTCCCCATGGCTCTCTCTCGGGCGTCGCCCGCCTAGCTGCCCGCGCCCGCCCAGGTTCCGCTACAGACAGCTACGCGGAGGCCGCGACGCGGGTCACGGATGCGGCGGGCAGAGGACGGCAATGATGCCCCGCCCGCGCCCCGCCCACTACCGCACGGCACCTTCGCTCATTGGTCCGTAGGCACCAGTGACCCGGATATCCACGAAGACGCCAGGAAGCTCCGCGGAGCAACGGCGCACGCGCAGAGTGTAAATCGAGGCCCAGGAAGAGGCCTGGCATTGGCACACGCACAGACTGCGCACGGACGCCCGGGAAGAGCCTGGCATCCGCGCATGCGCAGAACATGCAGCGACGCTTCCTGGCATCGGCGCAGGTGCAGAGTGCACGATGATGCCCGGGAAGCTGCTGGCAGGTTAAGAAGCAGTCAGCTGGAAGAATGCCGAGCGGCGCGCGCGGCGTGGACGTCCCCGGGTGTTTGAGACGCCCCTGGTGGCTTGCACACACCTTCCCCGAGTCCGGGAACCTTATTGTCCACGTCAACCAGGTCATTTCTGCTTCTTAGGGCGCGACCACAGTGTGTGCCCTCCTGGCAACGGCCCGGGCTTGTCTCTCTCTGGATCCAGGAAAGATGCCTGAGGGGCCGTCGAGATGGCTTGGCGGGTAGAGGCGCTGGCCGCCGAGTGTGACAACCTGAGTTCAATTCCGGGACTCACGTGGTGGGAACGACCTGACCCCTGCAGGTTTTCTGTCCTCTGATGTCCACGTGCGTGTGCATGCACACATAATTATAGTTAAAATACATAATAAACATCTTTGCAACACCCCAAAGACCCTATTTTAAAATTAGTGGCAAGCTGTCTCAACGGTTAAGAGCACTGGCTGCTCTTGCAGAGGACCTGGGTTCAGTTCCCAGCACCTACATGGTAGCTAACAACCATCTGTTACTCCAGTTCCAGGGGATCTAATGCCGTCTTCTGGCCACCATGGACACTGGACACATATAGTGCACTTCCATACATGCAGAGAAAACATACATATAAAATAAAGATTAAGCCAATTTTTTAGGGTTGGAGAAATGGCTTAGTGGTTAAGAGCACTGACTGCTCTTGCAGAGGAACGGAGTTCGAATCTTAGCGCCCACATGGCGGCTAACAACCTTCTGTAAGTCCAGTTCCAGGTGATCCAACACCCTCTTTTATCTTCCCTGGGCATTGCACAACAGGGGTGCGTTTACATACATGCAGGCAATATACTCACATATGAAATAAAGCAAAAATTTTAAAGTATTATTTGTATGTGTATGAGTGTTTTGCCTGCACACGTGTGTGTGTGTGTGTGTGTGTGTGTGTATACCCATGTTGTGCAATGCCCACAGAAGTCAGAAGAGGGCATCATCCCCTGGAACTGGAGTTACAGAGGCTGTAAGCCGCCATGTGGTGCTGGAAATCAAACCTGGGCCGCTGGAAGAACAGCCGGTGCTCTTTAACCACCCAGACATCTCTCCAGCCGCATAAGTAAATTTTTTAAAATGTTAATAATTTTTTATGTGTATTAGAATTTTGCCTGCATGCGAGTGCACTGGTGTCATGCAATGTCTATCGAAGCCAGAAGAGGGCATCAGAGTCCATGGAACTGGAGTTACAGATGGATGGTTGTTAACCACCATGTGGGTACTGGGACCTGAACCCGGGTCTTTGCAAGAGCAGCCAATGCTCTTAACTGCTAAGCCAGCTCTCCAATCCCAAGTAAAATTTTTTTTAAAGAAAAGTGAAATTTTAAATGAAATATGAGTGAGGCCCTCCAAGTGTTTGGGTGAGGGCAGTCACACCAGTGACCCAGACAGCTGTGGGCTTGCGTTTTGGTAGCAGAAGTAACTGCCCTGCCCCAGGGGAACAATATGTAATAAAATCCACTCCAAAGTGATGAACAAACTTCAGAACACAGGTGGCAGGGGTGGGACCTGCAGTCAGCTGACCTCTGGCTCCCAACCACAGAAGCACCATTTCATTTCCTTCTCCTCCCTCCTGGAGACTCTGCGCCCTTTTCTATTTAGACAGCAACACCCTGGGCCTCCAGCATCCCTGGGATAAGCCTCCAAAGTCCACATTTGCCTTCTTGCCTGGAAAAAGAACCCTGAGCCAGCCCAATCATCAGTCCTACCCCTGCCTGTCCCCACAGTACCCTCAGACCTGCCCCTGCCTGCCCTCACTACACCCCTTAGCCCTGCCCCTGCCTGCTCCTGCAGGACACCTTAGCAGTCAGCCTACCCATCTGGCTTCCCAGTACAGTGTCAGCCCTGCAGAGATGGGGCCCAGGCTGTCTGGCTCTCACCTGATATCACGCAGGGACTAATGCATATTTGCTGAGCTCCTGTCCTAACCCAGACCAGGGCAGACAACAGCAGTGCTGGATCCCTTCCCCTCCTCGAGGGCAGATCCAGGACTGGGAAGAGTCCCCAGTCCTCCGTCACTCATGCCAGGCACCCCGACTCCCACCCCCTTAAGCTTGTGGCTTAGACTGGAGCCTGGCTCAGGAATAAGTCTATGCTGTTGTCATCAGGGAACACTGAAGGTGACTCCACCCGGGGCATTCTCTCCAAGCGCCAAGCTTTGGCTCAATTTGTTCATCTGTGTCCTGCCCTTCCTGGCTACACCACCTGGGAGTGCTCACGTAGGCTTCAAGGCTCTGTTCACACTAACTTTACCTGTGGCCCAAGAGTCACGTCCACCCCATCCTCTGTAACATTCTTCCCTCGGTGTTTCCCATTTCCCTCATTGTGTTCTGGGGACCACACCGCTGTTCTTTCCCAACTTTTACTAAAAACACATGTTCTAGGCTGCAAACATGGCACTGGAGAGGTTGAGGCAGGAGGATCCAGAGTTCCAGGCTACCTGGGCTACATTGTGAGTTCCAGACCAACCTGGGCTACATAGCAACACTGTCATTTAAAAAAAATTATTTTTATTTTATGTGTATGAGTATATTACCTGCATGAATGTAAGTTCACCCAATGTCATGCAATGCCTGAGGTCAGAAGAGGGTGTAGGATCCCCTGGAACTGGAGTTATGGATGGTTGTTAGCCACCATGTGGGAAAAGAACTTGGGTCCTCTGCAAGAGCAGCCAGTGCCCTTAACCACTGAGCCATCTCTCCAGCCCAACATTCTGTCATTTTGTTTTGTTTTAAAATGAGGGAGAGGGGCTGGAGAGATGGCTCAGCAGTTAAGAATACTAGTTGTTCTTGCAGACCAGGGTTCGAATCCCAGCACCCACATGGCAGCTAACAACTGTCCGTAACTCCAGTCCCAGGGGATCCGACAGCCTCTTCTGACCTCCCCGGGCACTGCACAACACGAGTGCACTTACCTACATGTAGGCAATACACGTATACACATAAAATAAAAATAATAAAATTAAAAAATAAATAAAATGAAGGAGACATTGTATTTATTTTATGAGTGTTTGGCTTGCATGTAATGTAACTGTACCACGTGCATGCAATGACCATAATGACCAGAAGAGGGCGTTGGACCCCCTGGAACTGGAGTTATAGACACCTGTTAGCCACTGAACCCAGGTCTTTTGCAAGAGCAGCCAGTGTTCTTAACTGCTGAGCCGTCTCTCCAGGCTTCGTTTTTTTGTTTGTTTGTTTGTTTTGTTTTGTTTTTTTGAGACAGGGTCTCCCTGTAGCCTAAGTTGGCCTGAAACTCACTATGTAGACCAGGGTTTATTTGGACTCACAAGTGTTAGGAATAAAGGTGTGAACCACACCAGCTCTGTTTTGTTTTGTTTTTTTGACATTAGTGTGTGCGTGCGTGTGTGTGTGTATACACATGTGCCATGCATACAAACATATCACAGCATGCATGTGGGCTTAAAGGACAATTCGTGGGAATCAGCTGTCTATTTCCACCATGTGGATCCCGGGAATCAAACTCAGGTTGTCGGGCTAGGTGCTGAACCATCTCTCCCTCCTGACAGTTGGTGTCTTGCTGAACACCAGCTCAGACTCAAAAGGTCACGTTAGGTGTGAGCGTTTGTGAGGAGAATCCAGCACGCTGGACGAGAATCACGTGAGCTGAACACATTCTGCAATTCATCCTGCTGGTTCTCACTTCTGTAAAATCAGGACGATAGAGATTTCTCAAACACGGTGTCTGGGGTTTGATGAGCCCAGCCAGGGCTGCTGCATTCACACACTGACACTTTCTTCTGGTCTCTCTTCTTACATGCTGCCTCTCGTTCTTGGGTTAGACACTTCTATAAGACAGTGAGTTGCCCCGCAGTGCAGCAAAATCACCAGACAACTGTCTGAGCCTGTGACACTAAGGAACAGAAAGGCACATGCTGTGCTCTCACACAAAGCAGTGTCTCAGTCAGAAGGTGGCATTAGAGGTTCAGTGCTCTGAAAAGCCCTGCAGTGCAAGCCCCACTTCAAACCCGGTAAGTCCTGAATGTATTGCAGAGGGCCATCGCCTAGGTGAGTCCAGTCTGTGAACTTGTAGGTTAACACTAACCACCACAGAGTGGGGATGACCCAAGACAGAGCAAGCCAGACAGGCCTGTGTGCGAAACAGGCGTTATGGGGGTTTTATTTATGCAGTGTAGCCCAGCCCATCCTATCTGACAGAATCAGCCGAGGCCCTCCAGAACCCGTCTGCTTGCTTGTGTTGTTCTGGTTGGGTCAGAACAGGACTTGTGAGGAGACTAGAGTGACCGGTCTGAAACTTTGGGACACTCCATGACAGAGCTCACCAGTGCCATGGCCTTGCTAGCCCCTTCACATATGACATTGCAGGGGTGCGACCAAGATGGGGCAAGGAGAGTGTGGGGACAGCCCCACCTGCTGGGGGCCACAGTGGGAATGACCCCCAGGGAGGCTGGGGTAGGGTGGGGCTGCAGGCTGGTAGGCAGCTGTTGGAGGAGGGGGACTGTGCTTTAGCTGGGTCCTGGAAGCTAGGTGGAAGGCAGGAGGCCTGGGGCTGATAACAGCAGCCAGGTGCAAAGGACAGGGCCTAGCCAGGACTGCAGGACCTAGCCAGGACAGCAGTGGCCAGAGGACAAGGCCAGCCTCCAGAAGGACTGGGGCCAGCCGGGGTCGGGGATGAAGAGCTGTGCCCAAGCCTCCCATTTGAGACATTTAGGTGAACCTCACCCCGACATAGCCAGAGCCTGGGGGTTCCTGCAGTAAGCAAGGCCTCCCTGAAGGTGCCAGCTAGCTGCACACAACAGATTGCAGAGAGGCTTCTGCTGAGCCTTCGAACAAGCCTGATTCACAGGTGTGTATGTGGGGGCATCAGAATCTGGTGGCCTGTGGAAGGGGAGCCAGCCCAGGAGGCTCTGGATTCCGGAGCATTGCAGCCCGTAGGCCGAGTGGGGAGACCACAAACCTGAGGGGTGCCACCTCACAGGCCCTGGGCTGTGGGAGGAGTGAGCCGTCAGAGAGAGAGCACACTTTAAAAACCATTATTGTTTTTCATATTTATTATGAACTTTTTCTTGTAGGCCGAGTGGGGAGACCACAAACCTGAGGGGTGCTGCCTCACAGGCCCTGGGCTGTGGGAGGAGTGAGCCATCAGAAAGCACACTTTAAAAACCATTATTGTTTTTCATATTTATTATGAACTTTTTCTGATGCTGACAGAAATACATGTTCACCCCAGAAATTTGAGACACACAGAGGCCCCACAAGTAAAACGCTACCACAGATCACAGCACGGTGTCAGGAGCACTGGGTACTTTGGTAGATCCCATCCATCCTTCAGTGGAAAAGCTCACATCCCACTTGCATTTGTTCTTTTAACAAATATGCCAAACTTTGCTACCTGCTAACCAAATCAAGTGCTGCTCCCTCTGGGTGTTGACCACACACCAAGTGACCCTGAGGGGGGCAGCTCCAAACCAGTGGGAGTTTGATCTGCTAGGGTGGGAAGACCCTAAGAACGTTCTCTTCTGCTGACAGGAAACTTTCAGAAGGGAGGGCAGCTCAAAGCTTTCTAGGTTTTGTTTGGTTTTGCTTTGCTTTTTTGAGACAGGGTCCCAATATGCAGCCCTGGCTGGTCTGGAACTCACTATGTAGACCAGGCTGGCCTCAAACCCAGAGATTTGCCTGCCTCTGCCTAGAATGTTCTGGGATTAAAGGCGTGCACTACCATGCTAGGCTACCATTTCATTTCATTTTTGTCTTTTGAGGCAGGGTATCTTGCAGCCTAGGATGGCCCCAAACTCTATGTAGCCAAGGATGACCTTGAACTTCTGATCCTCTACCTCTCAGGTGCTGGGGTGACTAGCCTATGGTATTGCTCCCAGTTTATGTGGTGCTGGATTTTGAACTCAGGGCTTCTGCATGCTAGGCAAGTACTCTACCAACTGGGCCACATCCCCAGCCCGAATTTTTTCTTATTCCCTTGAGTAAGAGTCTCAAAATGTAGCCCAAGGGATTTACCACTGAACCACCCTTTCCCTCCCAGAGTCGTCTTCCCCTATTCAATCCGTTTAGCATCCTACATCAGGTGAGATCACGTGACTCAGGTGTGCTGAACCTGCACCTGCTGCAGACTCCGGGAGACTCGGTGTGGGGGAGCTGGAACCTTTTCTGCTGGCCTTAGGAGCGTGGACAGATCTTTCTTCATTTTCGTTACATTCTAATTCATAGGAACATACCCACCTGCTGCTGTGCACATACGTGTGAGAAAAAGTGGTTCCTGGCTTGTCCCATTCCAGTGGGTTGAGTAGAAGAGCAGTGGGAGGCGGGACGTGAACATGCAGACGGTTCAGAACAACACGTTCAAGCTGAGGAGCAGGAGCCTGAACCGTCCTATGTGCTTCCTTCCTCCCTAGGCCGCCTCTGCTCCCACACACACAAGGGTTTTTAAGGCTAATTCTATTCACAGATCACTGGTCCACACATATATGCTACATGTTTATACAAAACTCTTTAGAAACCATTTTACCTGGGGAAAAGGGGTCCAAATGCAAACGCGTTATCTTTTATTACCACTTGATTTGGGCGGCTCTTTCTTATGGATGGTGATTCACAGATCACTGGTCCACACATATATGCTACATATTTATACAAAACTCTTTAGAAACCATTTTACCTGGGGAAAAGGGGGTCCGAATGTAAACGTGTTATCTTTTATTACCACTTGATTTGGGCGGCTCTTTCTTATGGATGGTGATGTCCCTCCCACCACACTTGGGACTATAATACCTTCTTCCTTCCTAGATTGCAGGAGACTCCCTTGCCACAGGCTCCCCTGGACACACATTGCCACCTTCAGCATCCCCAGCCATGGACAGGCTGAGAGACAGCAGTTGGCCCCTCGGAACTGGGACTTCCACCCCCCGCCCCCCGCCTGCTGAGCTAATGGATGCTTAGGTCAGGTCTTTTAAGCGCCAGACCTCTCCCAGACCAAAGCAGCCTTCCTTTGGTTTCTGTAAACTACCAAATTAGCCCCAAGCTAGGGCTCCTGGGGTCATAGGCACTGGACCGCCACACAGCACTGAGATGCAGCTGCAGAGGAAGGCGTGTCACCTCCATGGGAGAACTTCCTAGATGCCTCCCTAGGTGACAGCACCCCCCCCCACCACCCAGATTCCTTGTGGCCCCAGGTGAAGGCTGGACCCGGGGTAGAGTAGAGCACAGGGAGACCTCAGCCTCAGCCCCTCCTGTACTGTCCACGGGGCAAATGTCCAAGTCCAGAGGGAGTTCCATGATCTACAAACCAGCAAAGCCTCACTGGGGTTTACATGGAGCAGCTTACTGGCCACTCTGGGGTACTTGGGATCTGAAAAAAACAAGGAGGAGAGATAAGCTGCCCTTCCAGCCACTCTGACATCTTTGGTACCATAAAAGTGTGATGTTAGGATTCTCTGCTCAGGCCTCCCACAGACAGTGACCCCTGACATGCACCTCCCAGGACACTGTCTGTGAGTCCTGAGCTGGCAAGCCTGCCAGCCACCGCATCTCACCTGGGAAGTGAGTTGACATCAAAGAGGTGCCACATCCTGTTCCCTACTCCCTTTGCTGCTTCCTGCCTGGGAATCAGCCTGGCTGCAGGCTCTTGCTCTGAGTCTCCCCATCCTCAAAAGTATAAGAGGAGGCTCTCTCCTCTGCCACGTGGACTCACTCTCCTCAGAGCCCCCACCATGCTGTCTGTCTCTGGTGCTAGGACCTGGACTCTCCTCAGAGCCCCCAGTGTGCTGTTGTCCCTCTGTCTCCTTGCCTATGGTGTGAAGGGTCGGTGTGCCTATGGGCAGGAGCCCTGGGCACCTTGGCACAGGTAAGGGGTGAGCTTAAGAGGGGGGTAGTCCCAGTGACTGGCAGGCAAAAGCTCCCTAGGGCAGCAGGCCCCGGTTACGGGTGTCAGCAGATGTCCAGGGGTGTCTGATGGACTCAAGGCCTCCCACAGGATGAGGCCCTCTCCCTAAGTAAAGGCTCCTTAACACCTATGTGACATCAGGTGAAAAGTCCCTAGAATGTGGCATGTGGCTGAGTACATGACAGTGTAGGGTTCAGGCAAGACAGAGACCTTCTAAGGAGAGACACCTGTGTCCGTCCCTTTGGCTGTCAGGCCACTGAAACAAGGGACCCAAAGAACTGCATTTCCCCAGGAGCCGTGGGCTGGGGACGGACAGAGCTTAAGCGCCACAGGAGTTTTTCTCTGTGAAGAGATTTCACACCTGTCTGACCACCTGTGAAGGCATCTTGTAGGAGAGACTGGAGCTCAGACAACGACGGGTCAGTAATGGACGTGACCGACCAGGACTGCTTAGCTACGCACAACTCCTGCCTTCCGTTTAGACCTGAACTTCATCTTGGGACCCCAAAGACGGACTTGGGGGTCCCTGGTCCTTGCTGTTCTTCCCAATGAAGCCACATCCAATGAACCTCCTCTCCCCGCTCTTCACTGGGCCTTTTTAATTGGCCCATGGGGTTGGGGCGGTT